GTGAATGAAAATGTCCTGGTAAATGCCTTTTATTGCATAAATACCTCTTACTTTTTAAGTGCAAGATAACAGTGATTATTCAGCTAGAGGAAGTTTGTTAACTCAAAGTTCGTCTTACAGAGAAAAAAAAAACGTTTAATTTCACTAAAATACCTAAAACTGAAGTGAAACCGTGAATTCAAGTTTCTCCAGGAGGGGGCAGTGTTTAGCTTTCTACCAGCAGGAGTCTATGACGACTTCCTGTGACGTTCGGTTGACATCCTGTTTTTAGCCGCTTAGCTTAAAGTTAGCTTCGGCTAAACTCGGTTAAAATCAACATTTCTGAACGAATTTAAGCGTAATCGTGGCGTTTCTTCAACAAGCACGACTTTTTAGCATGAAACATGAGTTTTTTGGTACATATGGCAGCTTTATTTAGTGATTTTAAGCACGGCAAAGCTCATTTCCGACATGGAGGAAGTGACGTGACACGTCACTCATCCGGTCGTTAGCTGTTAGCTTAAAATTAGCATCGCTAGCGTTGTTCAAAAACATCATTTAATGACGGATTTTAAACTCAAACGCGGCGAAATTTTAGCAATTGGACTTTAAAGAACTTAACAGTTGATCAGAATACAGCTTTTAAGCGCTTTTCAGCTTTAAAAAGCAGATTTTATTCCCTATGAAAACGAGTCTTCATTTCCGGGTCACGTGACTGAAATCACCAATGACAGAGCGGCACGGGGGTGAGAGGAAATGACGTAGGCACGTCATTCACTTTCTCAGCAAATCAGAGCGCTCCACAGCAGCAAATCCAACCAATCACGAAGCGTTTTTTCCAACTAGCATGTTAGATTAGCCTGAAATAAGTTCGTCAACTTTTCGTCTTTTAAACTGTCAAAATGCACTTTTTCTGTTAAAAACTGTAACGAATCAATTCTGAGTTGCACGGAGTCTGCTACTCCGGTCTCAAAAACGTCTTTCTAGCTATTTAAACACTCGTTCGAACTTCTTCAGAACCGAGCCGGACCAGAACCGCGTCTGGACCGTCTTTAAACAGAATGAAGCGTTTCCACCCAAACCCAGCTTTTAGTTACCATAACAGGCGTACAATTTCAGCTTTCATAAAGACTCAATGACACTATTTCAGCTTTCATAACATCGCCAGTGTAACATAGCGTAAACATGCAGAGCCAAGCTCCAAGCGGCGCAGCTTCAGAGGCGTTTCAGCACAGCTGACAAACTGTTATTTTTCATGCCAACTGTCATAGCTCTGCTCTCTGTCAGCTCCTCTGTCATGCTGCACACTCAGTAATCACTCAACTCATGTCACCTGTCACCGCTCATTATCCCACAGCTCCACCACCTGGTCCAGTCAGTACTTAAGCTCACTCATTCCTCTCAGTCTGGGCCAGATTCTCTATCCTGTCTCATCAGCAGTAAACTTTCCAGCATTCCATTGATTGACTCATCACGTTCATGACCCTTGCCTTGACCACGACCACGCTTTTGCCTCAGCCCTCGTCTGCTTTTGCTCATCTGATCAGGTACCGACTCATGCTCTTGTTTTTTGACTCTCTTTTTGGATCACGTACTGGATACTTCTGCTGAACAACTGACTTCACGGTATGAACTCTGCCTTTCCCTTCTGACTGTTTTTTGGATCACGGATTAAAGGTCAAGCTCATTCTGTATCACGGACTTATCCTTACCCCTGAATCTGATTCCCACAGATTCATTTCCCCAATTAGTCTCTTTCCCCCTGCATCTACTAACCTTTATCTTTTAGTTGCAAGCCTGTTGGACTCCGTTCCAGTGGACCTTAACATCAGTTCTACTTCTACTGGCAGCCCGCCACTACAACACTACCCAATCACGAACTACCAATCAGAAGATCGGAACCAGCCCAGAACCGGACCTACTCCAGAGTTTTACTTTACTTCACAATAAATCTTTTAACCCTCTCAGTGGTTGTTGTTATTGTTTGCGATCCGGCCTCTGGTTCATGACACCAACATGTAAAATCAATCTTTACACGAATACACAGTCATTTATGAACACGTTACGGGCCACCAGATAGTGGTACTAACGTACGGATATATACATACATTTCACGGGTTCTTCATTTTTCTGACTGTGTACATGTCGTGCATTGAATTTAACAGAAATGTAACGAGAGACGTTATTTATCTTTGACCCATCAAAATGAATGCGGTCATTTATTTGCAGAATCAAAGTTTAACATCAAACATTTACATTAATTTGGCAAAATATGAAAACAATAACATGGCTAGTTTCACAGGAAGTGGGCACAATACGGCGATTGTCCTCACTTTCAGCAGAACAGCAGACATCAATCACACGGCGGTGATTGAGAACTTTGCTTCAGACATTTCTAAAAATATCTGTAATGATTTTAGGAGAAAGGAGAGTTTAAGATGGAAAATGGAGATTTATCTTACAGAGAGATGTGTGAGGGAATTTATCTGTTTGACCAGAACGGGCACGCTCCTTCAGATCTCAGCTTGGCCACGGTACGCTTGGTCGAAATAGAACTTTTACCTGGTTGATGATAGATCAGGTCGGCGTGAAGTCCTTCTTTTGACTCTTTCAGCGTCTCCGTTGAGAACAGCTAAAATAC